TGCCTGTTTACAGCTGGTACTACATAATTTTTTTAGAAATTGTTATTTAATCAAGTAAGCAAACATATTTTTAGAACTGTCATGAGGTGGAATATTCCCTCCAGTGCACAATTAACTAATCTTGAATGAGACAGCTAACAAGATTTTAAGAATTATTGAAATGGCTCAGATATTTAAAGGTAAACTTCCACTCTCCAAAATTAGGCTTTGAAGAAATATTGAGAGTGCACTGATTTTTAGCTTATTATGAGCATCTTAAGTATATCTTTGTGAAACACTGCATGCTACAAGCTTTCTTGATGACTGTATTTTAGCTTGAGAAGTCAACACTGGCAGAAGAATGAGTAATGTAACATAGCACGAGGTTTACCTACCTGCCACAGACATTTCTATGACTCCTCAAATGGACAGCAAAAAATGAAAGAACAAGGGACTTAGTATATTTTAGGTACAGATATGGACCTAAACACAGTTTTCTAGATTTGAAAGCTTTAGGAAAGAGACTTTCAAAGCTCAAGTTTTGTGAAGCTGCTGGTTTGCTCCTCAAACATTTTTGACTAATTTCTCACTCTCTCTATGGGAAAAAAATATCCATGACCAAATTCACATGGCAGTTTTTTTTTTCTCCCCAGACCTCTTTCTTAGGTCTTCTTCTTTGTCACATTGTTAAGAGAAGCCAATATGGGCTTGTAAATAGTGGGTAGGAAAGAACTCTGTTTACTATTCCTGTTGCCACAGGTCTTCACTCAGCCTTCACAGACTAATTGACCTGACTTTTTTTTATTTTAAACAACAGCAAAAAAAACAGTCTGCTTTAGTTCTCCACAACATTTTTTTTTGCCTTTGTCAAGGCATGCTATTTAAAAAAGTATTTATCAAAAAATCAGTCTAAATCTGCCACCAAACAATTAAACAGTACTAGTACTTACCTGGAAAATCCATCTTTTGCTCACACATAAGAAATACAGCTGCAAATACTTTCCAAACATTTTTTTTCTTATTGAAAAGACAAAATACGATTTTTCTCTTGGATTTTATTTTTAAAGTACCCTTTACAAAATCTGCAGAGAATATTAAAGGACACACACGCAGTATAATTTTTCTTCTAAGTGTTCTGGAAGATTTAACTTATTGTTTTCTTAGACTGCATGTAAATCCTTACGATTCTTGAAAGAACTCCTTGGGAAAAAAATGATGATAATTTCCAGCAGTTTTAATATATTTTTCCGGCACAATGAAGCAATTGCTCATGGGGGGATAAGAATTCTGCCCTCCAGCAAATGACTCCATATTTAACAGCTCCACGATTCCTTTCATCACCTAGCAGCACTTATCTGTGTTTAATATTTAGATCTGTTCATCACTGTAATATACGAACAGCTAATTGAAAGAGAATGAGGTATTTTATACATAACTCCATAACCGATGCCTCTATACCAGAGAAGCATGGTAAGTAGTAATCTTCTCAGAAGGATACAGGAGTTAGAGGAGAGGAAATGTCTTAGGAAGACAAAAAAGAAGTTTTTTCATCTTTCAGTTGTTTACAGGAACCCGGCGCCCGTGGAGGCTGCGGGAGTCTGCAGGTGCTCTGCACCTCCAGGGCTGCTCACCAGAGCTCCCAGTGCTAGTGCAGTCTTACATGAACCTCCACAATTTCTTTTTCTTGTGTTATCTGCTGTACAACTGTACAAAGACAGTCTATTAAAAGAGATAAAATCAAACAAGTTTTTTTTAATGTGCCATCAGAGCTAACCTATCTCCAATCCCAACAGTTTGCTGCAGTAGTTAATTTTCCTTAGGAGCCTTTCTTTGGGATAGAGGTAGGGGAATTCCTTTTTTGTTGGGGATTTTTGCACCTTTGCCAGCCTTACTCTTGATGGTAGGTTTAATGTACAAGTGTTATTGGGTGCACTAGTGTCAGATTCCTCATCAAGGGATGTCTGGAAATTCCCCTTGCCAAGCTGCACGGAAGTGTCTAGGAAGCGCTGAGTTCACAGGGGCTTCTTACTGCCCTCCCAGAGATGCAGAGAAGGAGGCTCTGAGGAAGACCTCTCTGCAGCCTGGCAGTGCTGGCCACAGGCAACATCTGAACGTGCAACTTCGACCAAGGCTGCTTCATTTTGGAGCTGCCAGGCTGAACAAGAAATCACTGTAGATGTCCACCTCAAAGTAGAGATGGTTGGGATTCTGGGCCCTAACACTGAAATGAGGTGTGATGCTGCTTGTGTTTTGGATATTTACTGTTGGATGAAGGAGACAGTAAAAATAGACTAGCTTGAACACAAAGAGGTAGAAAGGACAGAAAACAAGAGAAGGCTGTGAAAGGATAGAACATTAACTCCTACTGGAAAAGAGGGAAATGTACCCAGAAATGAGAAGACTATGAAGGATAGGAGAATACCTTATGTAAAACACAGAGTTGCATTCAAGATCTCTGTTTTTCATGTTAGCAGACAGCAGTGAAGCTACTTCTGACATACAGAATTTAAAAACGATGGCCATTTGGCAAAGAGACAAAATTCTTACTTCAGAGAATTTAGTCTAGCTGATTTTCTAATCAGTAGATAATGGCCCACATGGAGGGAGGAGGAGTGACAAAGCAAGAGAATAAAAACACTGAAATTTCTTTTTGTATCCCCTCCTACTTATATTAGTTGCCTCTGCTTCTTGCATCATTTTTTTTACAGTATCCTTTCCCTGCACTAATTTTCCTAATATTATTGTCAAATATTGGACAGAAATAATTAATATTATCATTGATACTGCTCTGCTAACTTTCTGCATGCTCTATATTGTCCTCTTTTCCCTGTATTTTTATTAAGCAGATTTTCATGACTTTTTTTTTGAGGGTATGAGTTATGGAAGGTATTATTTTCAAGTACCAGCACATTTAAAAGTTCACCTGAATCAGATGATGTTTCATTGCATGAAAACATAGTAACTAATTCAAAAGTCTGTAAGTCATCCATGACTTGCCAATACTTATTGCACTTTTCATCAGTGCAACAATATTATTGGAAGTAGTGGGTTAACCATTTAAAGTACATTTACCTGATGTTTTCCTACAGCTACTCCAGGATTCTTCAAACAAATAGGGACATTAGCAATGAGTAAAGAGATTTCACTTCAACAAGATAACAGAATTTTGCCCTGACATGGGAAAATAAAATATTAATTGTACCACATTACGGTTTGTCTAATAGAGCCTCTAATGAGTCTGTTTCAATGATCTTCAACAAATCATCAAATACTTCCATATCTAAATACATTTCCTTTTTAAAAGATTAAAAAGGCACCCTTATTTCTTCTTTGTAAGAACAGGATCCATTAGCTCTGGTGAAATACCAGAAGTGAAGTCCCACAAGGCACAAGCCCAACTTGTGCCTAGTTTTGCTATGAAGATTGGCAGCTCCCAGTCTGTGCATTGGGCTTTGAGATTACCGTGAGGAAAGCAAACAAGGAAAAGAAAACCTATTCTTAGGCTGTGCCTTTCGAACACGGTTCAGAGAAGAGCATAGTCTAACCTTCTGATACACAAGAATTAACACAATCAGGTCTGTGGACAGGGAAAATACCTATGTCAATTCACATCTGATCACATCTGTGGTTTCAAAATGAAGGAGGAAAACAGCACAAGCAGCAATTGCCTCAGAAGTCCTCATTCTCTGGACAGCGCTCCGGCTGCCTTTGCCCGTGTGTTGCCGTGCTTGCAGCACCCTGCTCCTGTGGCATCGCCTCTGTCCAATGCTGCCTTTATTCAGCCCCGCCAAGCAGGGAGCTGAGCCCTGGTCGCTGCCTGCTGCCTCCCTGGTCTTGCCTTGGCCCATCCGCTGTTAGGGTCTGCTCGGGGTACAGCTCATGCCAAGCTAAACTGCAGTACAGGCAAGGCTGAGCCACATGTCACTCCTTGCACGGTCCTCTGACCTAACCCTGGCGAGCTCTAAACGCTGCAACACCCTCATGTATCCTCACTCACCTCGCTGGCCTTTCAAGGTAAGCTACAAAAGCACCACGCAGCTGAGATGCAGCACAGCCCCTCTCACATTGTCCCCCAGGCTCTGGGCTGACACAAAATAAAAGAGTAATCACGTGTAATGGTCAGAGAACCCCACGGTACCACCAAAGACCCAGGGCCAAGGTCTACGCACCGTGGGTTTGTCTCATCTGTGTCACTGTGCTCAGGGACAGAGAACGGTTCCTGGCCTCGATTCATTTTTATTCTAGATTCAGCCACAGAGTCTGTGTCAGACTTAGCTTTGCTGGACAGTATAAAGCCCTGCTGAAGTAGGGTAAGCAGGAGACTTTGCTGAAGATCTCAAGTTTTATGGCAAATTAGTCTTGCCCGAGATATCCTTCTTTAAAGCCTTTTTCACAAACTGATAGTTAAAGACTAGACGCTAAGTTATGAAACAATTTCTAGCATTTGTTTTGAACAAGGACAAGAGGAAGCCT